TTCTAAATCCTGTTTTATGATACTTACAATTTCATTACTCGACATACAGCAAACAACAAGATCAGCAGAGACAGCAAAAGGAGAGCGATACCGACTGCCACAAGAATAATGATTCTGTCGTACTCATCGAGCGCTGAAAAAGTATAAGAAATATAAACTGATTATTACAGAGTTTGTGTTAGGTATTTTATCGTTGCCGAATTCCCATACATTTCAAATACTTATTTTTTATAAAATAATTTCAACGACCACTCTTCGAGATGATGTTTGATAGTTCTGGACGTTTACCGAGCTAAAAACAACAACTCAAGATTGCATCAAATGCAAAGAATTTTGTCAGTTTTTTTTTTTAATTTTATTTTTCAAGGTCTTCTTAAATTCCCTGAAGAACGATTTTCAATTCTAGGCCTTTTTCAAAGAATTTGTCAGTATTTTTTTTCAAGGTCTTCTTAAATTCCCTTAAGAACAATTTTTCAATTCCAGGCCTTTCTTCAAAGAATTTGTCAGTATTTTTTTTTTCAAGGTCTTTTTATATTTCCCTTAAGAACGATTTTTCAATTCCAAGCCTTTTCAAAGATCAAGGTTTACCACAAACCCCGCCACTACTATAAAGAGATTTGTATTCTTTCAATTGTAGAAGAAAAGGCAAAAGAATTAGCAATGTCATCAAACTCCCTTGTTTCTTTTGTTCGCTGTCGACTATTAGCTATACTGACAAAATAGCAGAAATATTTAATTAATCCAGTCGTCTATATTTCTTGATGGGCCAAGTTTTCACTGAAACTCTACAGTCTTTTCTGAGCTGATACGTTTTTTCAGACATTTACTTTCGAAAATGAAGGTCTTAGAAGTTTTCATGTTGACAACTATAATATAATTTCAGATTTGCTCCAGTGATTCTGTCGCTTACGATCTTGGTCTCATTCATATAGAGTTTTAAAGAGAACTTGTACAAGTGTGCAACACAAATGTTCGTAGAAAGTACAGCCAAGACTGTGATAAATTCCCCATTTATCAATTAATCAAGTATTCATGCTAGACTTAACGCATGTTTATAATGTTCAGTTATAATTAATAACATCAG